GCGTGGCACCTGTTACTACTAGCTTCTTGTTACTACTAGTAAGGCACTTGTTACGAACGTAGCGATGCACTTGTTACTAGTAATGAATTGGGAAGGATGTGGGCACCTGCCCTCTGGTTGCAGCGTCACGAGTGAGTCTCAACCGAGCCTTGCTCACGGCATCTGAATCCTCGCCATGGAGCCGGAGGAGGCTCAGGAACGTCTCATCGCAGTGCTGGCCCTCGGGTTGCAAGCCGCAGCCTTGGGACGAGGCATCTACCTGGCCTGGAAGTCTCGCAGCTGGTTCTGCGCAGGCGCAGCGAGCATCCGTGATGTTTTGTTCTTTTGGATGATTTGTTGAGTGAACTCGGTCTTGGATGTTTCACCCAGTTGAAGTGAAGAAGTCCCTTTTTTTGCGATCTGTTTGGGGTTCAGTTTCTCTGACGGTGCAGTTTCTCTGACACCGCGACACCCGATGCGCAAGACCGAATTCTCAGAGTTCGAAACCCGTCGCAGCGTCGTGACTACTAGCTTCTTGTTACTACTAGTAAGGCACTGAAGAAAACATGATTTTGCCAAAGAAAAGGGGGGGTTTTCTACCTGGACATCATTCCGGAAAAGAAAAGGGATGAACCGCCGCACGTGTGAAGGTCCCCCTTCTAGAGAGCCCATGGCGGTTCGGGCAAACGCTCCCGGTTCGGTTCGGTGGCAAACGCCGGCTGTGTGCGGAGCCGTCACCGCTCAGTAGGCTCAAACCAAGTGCTCCTTCGTAAAGCGTCCGAACGCTCCGTTCGGTTCGCGATGCCAGGAGCCCCATGACGTCGTAGCGTCCGATCGCTCGGCTTGCTCCGTTCGTAAAATAAAGCTGTTCGCACGATGTGGTTCAGATGCCTTTCTACCAGTGATCTGGCATTCACACATGCTGCGCATGCTCGCACTTGTAGGTCTGAGGGGCATCGTCTCCAAAAGCAGAGATGCCTTCCGCACCTCCAGAGATGCCGATGAAGCGCAGCGGATCGAAAGTGAGGTCCGTCAGCGGAAGCTTCAGTTCGCACAGTGGCTTTTTGCAGCACTTCTTTGCTTGGCTCTGGTCATTCTTTACACCCTCCAGTGGAGATTGCGCCGGGGCTTCAGGAGCACAGAGATGCAGCGGATGGTGTTTTGGTGTGTTCTGGCGGGTGCAATGCCAATGACTCTACGCCTCTATGTGCCCAAAATGCTCTCAGCATCATCCCTCAATGGGTGGTACGTCTTCTCAATGATCCTTTGTTTCGTGTGTTTGACACCTCTGGGAACCAAAGCTCAGCAAGTGGTTGGATTCTCCTTCTTCTGGATCACCTTTCTTCGAGTGCCCGCCTCCAGCTTCGCCCCGCGCATGTCGCTGGTCTTGCTCTCGAACCTTGCCATTTCCATCCTCGTGTGCGTGCGCTACAGTGCCGTCACGCCCGCGAACGGCCGCGATGCCGCGCTCTTCATCGAAATTAGCGGCTCGGTCTTCGCGATCTTCGCCTGGCTGGCGGTGCAAGTGGCGCTGACCTCGAAGGTGGAGCAACAGATCGACCACACCAAACTGGCCACCGTGCCTTGGGAGCAAATGGCGACATAGAGGGAGGACCGAAACCAGCCGCGGGGTTTCGTGGGACATGAGTTCCAGAAAAACGTCGCCTCCAGTTTTTTTTTTTGTTGGCACCGTGGGTTCTTCTTCTTCTTCTTTGCAACCCGCAACCCGCCTTCCACGACCCACGACCGCTCCCCGCTCGTAGCAACTACCCCTATCTGTCCAGCTCGATGCCGAATCCCCTCGTTCAGCTGCTTCGGTTCGCCCGGTCGGGTCGCGGTGCCGTTGAGTCCGCACCCGTTCACCCACGACGAGTTGGGGGGGGGGGGGTTCTGGCAGTGTGGCGAGCGGAAGATGCGTCAAGCAGAAGATGCCACGCCTACACAACCTGTTTTTGGTTTTATTATGTTTAAATTGTTTTTACTTCTTTCTGTGGGTCTTTCAACCGAATCACTCAACAACAATTCACACCACCCACCCAGGAAAAAACGGCGAACTCCGATCGTTTTTGGCACATGAGGAACTCAATGCGGCCAAATCGCTTCTCCGCATGACCTGCGATGCGGTCGTGGAGCTTGGGGAAGATCTCTGCGTCTGGGCTGGGACCTTTCGTGTCGGCCACGACTGGGGACAGCCGGGGACGGAGGCGGATCCGTCCGAAGTCCAGGGATTGGCCATCCAGCTGGTCTGACTGACCTCATGTTTTGTACCGTTCTTTTGGTGCTTTTTCCCGGATGTTTGGTCAACTACCCTGACCTGTAGGATCCAAGGTCTTGATTTTTTGGTCGAATTCAGGGGGATGGAAGGTTGAGGGAGAGGAGGTGAAGAGCTAAACACCTCCACAGACACGCTGGAACTTGGGGTAGCACACAACACTTAATGTGTGTCTGAGCGAGACGTAAGCTCTCATCTTCCATCTCAAGCGAAAGACAAAAGCTCCAGAAACTGGTGGTTCTCGTGCTCTTTTTCTGCATCGTAATAGTCTTCACCTGTCGTCCTTCGGTGTCTTCGATCTTCATCTGCCCCGAACGTGGTGCGCGTCGCCTTCCGCACCGCTCCGAGCTTCCCCGGCCGAGGTCTCACCGAGGACAGCCCCGAGTTGAGCATTCTCCTGTTGAGGGGTGCGGGGTCAGGGACACTGAAGGGGGTGCCCATCATTGATCTCATGGCCTCGGGAGAGGCGGAGCGAGTCACTGAGCTTCTCTCAAGCTCTGCTGCATTAGATGCACCCGTGGACGGCACCCCACAGCCCTATGTGGCCAATGTCTTCAATACTCAGTTGCAAGACAGCTGCGGCAGCAAATTCAGCACAGAAGTCTTTCATGTGCGCTACAAGAAGCTCGGATTGGCCATGCCAGGTGCTTTGGGGATCTGGGTAGCTGCCATACCCTGCTTGGGAAGAGGATTGTCCTCTACAAACAAGGCGTTTCCACTTCCATGTTAAAAAGAGATAATGAACATATGGTACTGTAATCACTTGAGATTCATGAGCACTCGGCACCTTTTCGAGGCTGTTTGGATGCTTTTCATCAGACTAGTGAAGAGCCCAAGAAGAGTACCGGCGCTTTGTTGGTCTTGAAGCTACCGGTATGATGGGCGAGCTTGAAAAAAGCTAAGAACCCAGGGGATACAGAACTCCAGTCGTTTCAACTGTGGTCCTGTGAGAGAAGCTCTGGCTCTAATCGAGATTCAGTTCCAATCTTTCTCAGCCAGCAGTTGCAAGGTGGATGAATCCTTATTTTATACAAGTCTATACGCTAGCAATGCTCTCAGACATAGCACCAGAATCTTTTATTGACCCATTTTTTCCGTATGCAGCAACCGTCCTAAGCAACAATGCCAAAAATTCTACCTCAGACCACGTGTTGCCGGCCCTCAGGAAGCTGGATGGCGACTGTGGGCACCTCATCGGCCTCCGCGACTTCACCGACCAGGGCGCCTTAGCCACGCGCGGCGGCGCCTCGCCGAGCCCCAGCGCCTCGGCGGCGGCATCGCCCGCGGTGTCGCTGCAGCCGGACGCGGCGGCGTCCAGTCGAATGGCAGCGGAGGAGATTCTGAGGCTGCCCGGGCCGCCGCAGGTGCCGCAGGTGCCGCAGCCAGTGCCGCAGCCGGTGCCGCAGCAGGTGCCGCAAGCCGGTGCCTTTGATGCGGGGAGCGGTGGGAAACAGCGGGGATCCTAAGAATTTTCGAATCATGGTTTTCTCAGGTAAGTTAAGTGGTCAAATTGCTTTGTTCTGAGCTATGGCTTTTGGACAGCCGAAGAACTGGATGAAGTCCGGAAAGTCTCCCAGCCGCGGTGTGGACTCTGTCTGTGAGCTCCGCCGCATGGCTTCACGCGTGTCGCACCGTGTCGGCCGCGTGATGCTTTTCGCGCTTTTGCTTTAAGGCGCGGCCGCTGAAGGGGCGAGGGCCCTGAGGGTCACGCTTTCTTTTGGCTTGGGGGGGTAACTCCAAGGCTGGTTTAGTCCTGCATAACGTGTCTTTGGGGAGCCAGTTTTAGATGCCAACGTAGAACAAATTACACCAGCATAGACCCAGATAGGTAGGCAGAATCCCACGACCTGTTGACATGCGACTGGCTGGATCGAGAATGTACGCCGCCTGCACAGCCAGCTTATGGCACCTCCACAGCGCGCACAACCAGCTGACACCAGCACCGGTGCGCTTTGCCAGCTGACAACACCGGCAGCGGCACCAGCGCCCGACCAGCGCCGCCGCCGGTCTTAAACGCGCGCTCAGCCAGCTCACAGCACCAGCACCGAGGACCACAACACCAGCACCAGCACCGACACCCTTTCGAAAGCGCGCGCAGCCAGCTCAGTCTTATTTGCAGTAAGAGCCCCATAGCTATCCCCACTTGGGGAACAACGCTGCGCACAAAAGTATACGCACAAACGGCAAAGCCCGTATAGGCTTCACCCGCCCAAGGCCAAGCAGTATCCAGCACGACTATTGTGTGTGTAGCATGCTGAAACATGCTGAAACAATGGTCGGTTGAGAGCCTGACGCATAGAACATTATACGTAAGTACAAATCGTACAAGAGTATGCGCGCAAACAGCACAGCCCTTGACACAGCTGTCGGCCAAAACAGAACCTGAAGAGTGTAAATACCCCACAGCGCTAACAGACAAAGAACGCTCAAGCGACAACACCGTATGATGTTGCGTGCATAAGTTCACGCGGCCCATGACTGCCGGCACTTCACTGTCAGAAGCGGCGGTTGGCCGCCCTTCACTGCTACAAGCGGCGGCTTGTCACCCTTCACTGTCAGAAGCGGCGGTTGTTGTCACTTCACTGTCAGAAGCGGGCACCAGCACCCAGCACCGGTACCCTCTCCACCATGCACACTGCCAGCTCACAGCACCAGCGCCAGCACCGGCACCCGGCACCCAGCACCCAGCACTAGCACCCGGTCTCCACCACGCGCACAGCCAGCTCACAGCACCAGCACCAGCACCGACACGTGGAGACACGTGCGCAGCCAGCTCACAGCACCGGCAACCTGTTTCGAAAGAGCGCGCACAGGCAGCTCATTGTTGTTTGAAGTGTAGAACCCCATAGCCATAGCTTCGCTATCTGGGAAAATAGATGAACAAATGAGTCCTGCCTAGAGCAGGCTTGAACTCCCTTTCTCTCTTTGACATGTCCACTGAAATTAGGATCGCCACTTTAGTGCATCGAGCACCTCTAGCCAAGTGCTGTAGCCCACACTTAGTGCTGAGGAGCCGGAGAAACATTGACCTTTCTAACAGCTCATTCGACAGACTGGGGATGAATTCGCAGCCACAACTGTCAGCATGCGCGTTCTCTTTTTCTCACTTGTAAGAGTGAACAGCAGGTGAAGTTGTAACAGGAGGTGAACGTGAAAAACAAAGAAAGGCGTGATGAACTCTCAGGTGAAGCAGCCACCAGCGCCAGCTCCGGAAGTGACTCACAGAACTTGATGCTGCTCGAACTGGACATGGAGCCTGGGCCCAGCGAGCGGAGACGTCGAGTGGACGTCGTTTCGGCCCTCGGGCCGGTCCGAGTCGAGCGCGTCCAGTTACGGCGTTTCGGGGGGGTGAGGCGTTCAAACCACACCGAGGCCATGAGAACTAGATAGTCAATTCAATTCTTAATGTACTATTATTTTTTTAGAACTGATTGGTTTTTTGATTTTGGAACGAATCCGTCAGCTCACCCTGGTCCCAGGAATCGCTTCCGTCCGCTTTTCCATCGCCGTGCGGCGCGTGTCTCCGGGCACGTTTCTCCGGGCGCGTTGTCGGGTTGTTCACCAGACCGGGCGACATCGCCCCCGTTCGACCGCCGCCTCGGCGACCGACCGAGCTGGGAACGCCAAGTCGAGGGGCGGCGGCATGTCCCTTTTTTCATGAAGAACCCTAGGGTTCCTGGCCATTTTTTTTGGGGTGGGTGCCAGGGGGGGGGTCTAACCGATGTCCGGCAGTTCGGAGTTCGGCTGTTCACACTAAGGAGACGATGATCTTCAGCGCGGCATCGTGTGGTTTGGGTTCCTCGGCGTGAAGAACTCCAGTTTCAGCGGCCACCCGAGATTGGGCGCGTGAAGTTGCCGATGGTGTTTGCACGACGGTTTGGAGTGAATAGACGATATCAAACGATATTCTAAACGATCATTTTATCGGTTCACATGTAAATCATAAGTGTCGTGCGGAGTTTGCTTCAATTGAACGAGAAAAACACGGGTGAGGTGTGTGATTCAACTTTCGATTGCGTATGGCCGATTGTTGGGGACATGTGCACCACAACCCTTCGCAGTGCAATGCCCTTCCTTTGCAGCTTGGTCCCTGACACGACCCCTTGTGGTTTCTGACCTAAAGACAGAGAAGCTGCTGCCTCTCCCGCCGAAGGTCTCATCGGTTCACCGCGCTGAACGGAAAAAGAGTTCCTTTCTGAGGGCCTTCATTGGCAAAGCTTCTTGTTACTAGAAGCCAGATTGCTCCGTTCGTAGCAAGGCCAGGAGCCCCGCCTCGTAGCTTCTTGTTGATTCAATGCGCCGCCGTCATCGGTTGCTTTTCCATCCATCGAACATGCCTGGTGCCCAGTCGCTGGCGTCACTCGAGACCGTCGGATCCACCGTATAACGGCGGTGGCGACGGTGGATTCGTTTGAGGTTTCATGGCTGGAAGGAGCCTTCGGGAGGCCAGCAACGAGGAAGGCATTGATTTGTTGACGCAGACGGCGAGTCAAGTCCTGTCACTCGAGAGAAAGGGCCTTCTGACGGCGCATTTCTTTCCCTTTGGGCCTCTTGAAGTGAACTCACGGAGTGGCCGGGAGTGGGTGAAGTGAAGACCAAAGATCCCATTTGGCCATTTAGCCTTCCTCACCAGTGCTGTTTAGTACGACATGTGCTGCACCACCCTGGCAGGATGGTTCTTGGATGGAAAACCCATGGGGTTTTGGGGGGGTGCAAGCCAAAAGCCCAACTGGGTGGTAGTGTATGTTACTTTACTACTGGTATTGTGTTTGGGATGGGTTCACCAGTGGACTGGGTCCCCTTTTTGGGATTCCCATCTGTGTGAGTGAACAGATCCGGGCCACCGTGTGTTTCGATGATCCGTTCGATCGAAAGAAGGGGATGAGCGGGTAGATTGTGTGCATGAGAACTCGATGCTGAGTTGTCTTTTGGCGTCGCACGACCCACCCCATCCGATGGGTTTAGTTGTCTTATAGCCGAAGCAAGACTTCCAAGCTGCGGAATTCGATCAACATGGTCCATGTTGAATCAGAAAGACGAACTATAGGTCGCATGATGCACGCAGCATGGTTCACCGCGCCCGTGTCTCCCAAGACAGAAGTTTCCTTCCCAGGAATTTGGAGTTGAGATGGGGGACATCTATCTTGCACCGGAGCTTGATTCACGGTACCATGGAGATCTTGCGCAGCACTTCGGGTGGTCTTCGACTCGTGCTGTGCTTTTCCTGGCCGAGCGGATGCTTGGTTTAGTGGAAGAGAACCGGCGCTGGGCTGTGTGCTCACACTGATGGGTGCAACTCGGGGAAAGAGAGAAGTTTAGCAGTTTAGCCCTCAAAAGAGAATCTTTTTGGATTCAGCCACCCTCTTTCCTTAAGAGTCCGCCAGGGCAGCGAATTTCTCTGCAGCTGGGCCTTCTTCGCAGTGCATCGAAGTAAACAAGTGGTGTAAGCAGGAGCTTAAGAAGGTCATGAGACTGGGGGCACAGTTACATCTTCGGGTAGAGTTACATGCTCCTTTAGGGACAATGGCATCGCTACTAGGCGGGGCTCCTGGCATCGCGAACCGAACGGGGTCGGATGGCCGGCCTCGAACCGGCGGTTCGATCCACTTCGACTGCTCGAACCGGTCTGGACTCGGGTCGTTTTGGCCTCGGAAAGGAAGATCGCCGAAACAGACCCAACCCTATCAGGACCCATCAAAGGTTCTGGGACAGGTTTCTATTTTAATTTTATTGTTACTACTAGTAAGGCACTTGTTCCTAGTAGCGATGCACTTGTTCCTAGAGATAGAAGTGACAGAGGCGCCAGAGTTCTTCTTCGCGCCAGAGGTGCCCTCCCCTTCGCCGAGGCCCGCGAGCGATCCGCCGCTCCACCCGCGAGTCCCGCGAGGGGTCGCCCCGCCACCGGGAGTCCCGCGACGGACGGGACGAGCGCCGGGGGCACGGCTTCAACCGGCAGCGCTTGCCGACGGGACGTACAGGTACCGCGGCGACGGGAGTGGGGCATTCCTCGCTGTAGGACGAAGGACGTGGCGGCGTTCCATCCGATGGCATAGGGTTGTGATCTGGCGTGGCGCATGGCGCATACGTTCTTTTTCTTTATATCTTTATGAAGGCTTTTGAGATTGCATTCAGGGGATGTTTCAATCTCAGTTGCCCTCTGCTTAGGGGCAGAGGATCTTAGTATTCACGTGGCTTCCCGATCTGAGAGGCATGAAGATGTTTCCTTTTTTCGACTCCGCTTCGCGCTTCTCCTCCGGGAATTCGGATGAGAAGGGCAGCGATGGTTTCACCACGGATTCGAGGTTGGATGATGTGAATGTCTAAGGATCATGTCTTCCAAAAAAATGGACGAACCATGGATGGATCATCTAAGATCATCATCACCTTGGATTTTCCACTTGGTTCTTTCGCCTGTTCGACTCACGCAGGCCCACAGATTTCTGGCTTTGACCCAGAGAACTCTGAAAAGGCACACGCAGCCAAAGCCGTAAAGAAACTGAACCAATTAGTGATTGCTATCCTACAAACCATGCTAGAGATGCAAGCTCACGCCTGTCAAGGCTTTTCTTGGGCTCCCTGAAGCTCTCCTAACACTTGTTAGACTCATTGGCAGCCTAATGGAACATTTCCAATGCCGCACGAGAGAAAGTCTGTTCCTGAAATCACCTTCCCAGTTCAAGAGAATAAGCGGCATAAGTCTATGCTACCTGACAGCTGCACTAATTAGGTGACTTTCCGTAGGCTATTAGGTAACAAGAAGCTACTAGTAGCAAGGCACCTTACTACTAGTAACAAGAAGCTACCCCTTCGGCAATTCTCCCATCTTTCACCGGGTCCAAAAAACACCTTCTTCCCATCCGCAGTCCGCTGGTCCCGCGTACGCGCGGTGCTGGAGACGTGCGCTGTCACCGCGCTCGTCGCCATGTTCCACTTCCATTCGTCGCCAGGAGGCGAAATATGCTCCGCTGAGTTCGGGGCAGTTTGGCGGCGGTTCGGTGGCGATTGAGGTGATGCGTGTGGACTGCGAGGGCGCTGAGTATGAGATCCTGAGGTGGGGGAGAGATGTCGAACGGGCCCAAGGAATCGTTTTTACGGCGAGCACATCTGCTTCTTTGATGTTCTTTGATCTTCTTGATGCCTGCCTTTTGCGTTTAGAAAAAGACACCCACCTGAAAAAAACGAATCGCTTTGGCCTCACACTGGTTCTCTGAAAAACGGCGGGTTTCCCACCCGCAAGCCTTCAAAGAGTCTCTGTCTTGGCCCATCCGTGGCGAACTGACCGGAGGGTTTTTTCGAACGGTGGAGAAGGCGGTGGGATCGTCTAAAGATGATAGCAAACATTGTTACTACTAGTAAGGCACTTGTTACTAGTAGCGATGCACTTGTTACTACTAGCTTCTTGTTACTACTAGTAAGGCACTTGTTAC